CCCAAATGAGAAAGGATTTTTTTTAATGATTTGAATTCCTATGTTCATGAAGAAAATGAAAGCTCTCAGCCTTATATTTGTATCCCTTATATTTGTTGTTTAGATTTTCATTTACAACAACAACAATAAAATATGTCCCTAAAATTGCAATGCTCAAAATCGGTTTTTATGACAAAAGTTTGAAACCTAGAAATGCTTGATTTATGGCAAATTATTGTTTTTACAATGCAAACCATCATACATTTTCTCCCTAAGTGTAATCTTACATCAGTTCAACTGAAGAGCTTTTTCTATCTCCTTTCACATTTATTATTTGACTAGAAGCAGCTTAGACTGAGCAACCTGTAAAACCAACTACCTTTGTGCAGAAATATCACCCAATTAGCCCTAGATTGATGAAGGAGCAAAGTCAAGTCCAGGTGCCCAGTCTAACAGGCTTGCTTACCTTCTAGTTCAGCTCCTTTGCTCTGAATTGAGTCTGCCATCTGCATCTGACCTCCAGATGACCATGACTTTTTCAAATCAAATGTGCAGTTTGCTATAAATAAGACCATATAGCTGCACAGGCTATAAATAACTAGAAATTATATGTTTTCTTCCTTGTCTGTTGGTACTGGTGCTGTTAAACCCCTCACTTGCTGTGATTGAATAGTCTCTGTAGGCAGACAAGAAAATATAGCTGCCCAAATCACTTCATCCTCCTAGAATGGAAAGGTGTCAGGATCCCAAACACACTGCAAGTAGATGAAGAAAATTACCGGGAAGGAGAAAATTACAAAAGAGACTTTCAGTATCTGTTTGGAACAGTGGATGATGAAAGTGGTAGTTACATGTACTGCATGAAAATAAATTTATCCAACAATGATGTTTGTTTCCATCAGTTATTCAAAATGGAAAAAATAGAATTCTTATAAATGCTAAAATGAAACTTAAGAGAAAAATAATCACTGTTTTGTAAAAGAATGGGAAAGACATTTGATTTACTGATGCGTGCTATATTCATGGCATTTAGGAAAAAACGCTAACATTCTTCATCCTCTTCTCACTGTTTTCTGCATTCTTAAAATGTGCTTCTGAATCGCAAATGTGATTTTATCAACCTGCAAAACAATGTCAGAACCAAATGCTTAGCCATTTGGTGAGGAGTGCAGCCAAAATGTCATTTGGGTTTCAAGCCTGGTCCTGCCATGTTCGATGGCTTGGGACAAGTCACTAGGCTCTTGAAGCCTCATTTTTTCTCATATGTACAAAAGGAATGAGGAAAACGCCCACAAAGTGTTCTGAAGAAAAATAAATGATCTGTGAAAATGCTTGGTACAATACAACTTACCATGCGTACCTATGTATTATCAATACTACAGTGGAAGAGCTATAGCTTTGTCCTAGTCTGTGTCAACCCACTCGCTGTACTTACACTGTTTTTAGAGAAAAACCCTTTTTTCACAGTAGCAAAAGAAATGTGTACATTGCGGCAGTACAAACCACATCCTTCAAAAGTCATACAGAACGTGAATTATTCTGAATATTGTATGGAGGCCATTAAAAAACTTTCCAGTTTAGGATGCAATCTTTTTTAAAATACATAATCCCCCGTCTATAATTTATCATCTTCGTAAAAGATAACTGGCTTCATCAATTTTGAGATGAGGGTTTTCTTTTTTTTTTTCAGGATAATGTACATAAATGCTAATTTTAATTATAAAACATCTAAGCTACAACTGAAATTGTGTCTCTTCTTCCAGCAATCATAAGCATAAATGGTATAGATCATCCCTAAGCTAACACTGGATAAATCTATTTCTGGATGGAATCCAAATTCAAATATGAATACTAAAACCACGTTTTAAAACTAAGTTAGTCTGATGGTACAACTGAAATAAAAACAAAACATAAAACACTAAAGGCCTGCAGGGGCTGGACAATGCATTTCTTTATAGGAGGCTCTTCCTCTACTTCCCAGTCAGAAGCTGAGAACCTCTAACCTACCACTATGTCTTCCGGGAGAGGAGAAAGAGGGGTTCCTAATGTCTAAAAGTGACCCTTCATGAAGTTGAAACCGGGTCTTACAACACATGTAATTGAAATCTGTGCGTACGAATTAGTCCATGTACTATA